GGGGGGGGGGGTATTTACCCTGTTTAGTGTTCCCTGAGATTCTTGGATTTATGAATTGGTGTGTTATTGATTTTAGAAAATTTTCAGAAATTTAAATTTCTTTAAATATTACTTCTACCCTGCTCTCTCTCCTTCTGAGATTCCAATTATATATATGTTAGAACATTTGATATCATCCCATAGCTCTTGGATCATCTGTTCTGGTTTTTCTCACTCTTTCTATTGTTTTTCCTCTTTGAGTTTCAGATTTTGCGATTTCTGTAAGTTCACTGATTCTTTACTTGACTTTATCAAGTCTACTGATGAGTCTCTCCAAGGAATTCATCTCTGTTACTGTGTCAGGAAGGTTATCAAATCAGAAAAGTCTTAAGTGAAACAAATCTTGAATCTTCTTGTTTTTTTTTTATAAGATTGGAAGGGTTGATGGACACTGTCTTGGTCATCTAGTGCCGCTATAACAGAAATAGCAGAAGTGAACGGCTTTAACAAAGAGAAATTTATTTCTTCACAGTAAGGTAGGCTAAAGTCCAAATTCAGGGTATCAGCTCCAGGGGAAGGCTTTCTATCTCTGTTGGCCTCCTCATCAATCTTCCCCCAGACTAGGAGCTTTTCCATGCAGGGACCTCAGGGCCAAAGGATGTGCTCTGCTCCCAGCACTGCTTTCTTAGTGGTATGAGGTCCCCCATTCTCTGCTTGCTTCCCTTTCATCTCTTGTAAGATAAAAGGTGGTACAGGCCACAGCCTAGGAAACTCCCTTTACACTGGATCACGAATGTGACCTTAGTAAGGGTGTTATACAATCCCGCCCTAATCTTCTTTAACATAAAATTACAATCACAAAATGGAGGACAACCACGCAATACTGAGAACCATGGCCCAGCCAAATTGATACACACATTTTTGGGGGGACATAATTCAATCCATGACAGACATATTCAAAATATGTTTTTAACTTCCTTGTGGGACAGCACAAATGAAACCCATGGAGAGAGTCGCAGTGCAATCAGGGACTGCTTCCTTTGGACACTGGTGCATCTCTCCTTGACCCCTTTTCTAGCCAGTCAAGAATGAGAACCTCAGGTGGATTCAGACCTGTCACTTTAAGCTATCACTTGGCTGGTCTGAGATTTCATCAGTATTGTTCCTGCCTGCATTGCACTTGAGGTTCTTTCAGTTCAATTCAGCAAATTTTATTGAGTACTTACTGTATACAAGGCTATATGAACTTGAATCTTAGCAAGTGAGTTACGATGACAAGGCTCAGATGGAAACAAGGCAGTTCAACTCCTTGTGACTACTCATAATCATTCAACCTTGCAGCCTCTTTCACTCTTTTTTATTTTCAGGTATGTATTTACACTCACTACAGTAGACTAATAAAGTCTCCAGGACTTTATGGAGAGCATTTTACTTCTCCTTACCACCTCTGCTTGAACTGATAACTGTAGTTTGTGATCCAGGATCCTCCTTAAGGAGGAGCTGGCATGCCTAATACCTTTCACTTTATCTGAAATAATGTGAATCCAAGCTAAAAGTATCCAGACTGCAACTTGTATCTGTAATTTGTTTTGATATGGAGGAGAGGAAACCCATTATCACACTGGTAAGTTTCGAACAAAATCTCAATACTCAGTCGACCCTAGTTCCTATGTACAGGACTTAAAAAAGTCTTTAAATTAATGGTATGAAAAAATTGCAAAATCGGGCAGGTAGGGGAAAGGGTAACATTTATTCTTGGGTGCAGAGACTTCTCATGCTCATTATAAACTGGGGATTCAGGATAGTAGGTGCTTCTAGGGGAAGAGTAAATACTGAGGAATGGAAAATTTTAGAAGGGCAGCATTCAGTCTGATTCTTAAAAAGATCACTTGAAATTCCAGGACAAAAATTAAGTTGTAACCAGAGAAAAACCATGATAATGTCTGAAATTTTTTAAAAGAAAGAAATATGAGTTTTTAAATAATTCTTTTCACACTTGAGAGGTGTTAGAAAATCTAGTAAGCCAAGAAAAGGGAACAAAGGTAGAGAGAACTGGAGAATAACATTGTATGTGTATATATCCACCTCAGCAGACCTATAACAAGGAAGCTGGAAAACCAAGTGACGTTAAAAGGACACTGTGATAATGTGGTTTTCAGTATCAATATTTGCTGAAATGTTTTATGTCTTCTTTACGGTTGGAGGGAGCAGAGTAGGGAAACAGCTAGGTGACACATAGTCTAGAGACTTGATCTAGACCTGAGCAACCCTGCATCCTTCAGGTATTTAACTGCTCTGTTCCTTAGAGCCCATGGTGGGCTGCATATCTCAGACTCCCTCTTCTGTAGATCACACAAGCTGATAGCCAAACAATGGTAGCTGGGGACACCAGGAGCAGCTGGGAGGGCCAAGATTCTATTCTGGGGCTCACTTTTTATCTGAGGATAAAAAGAATCAGGCGACATAAAATTTTCATGTTTCTGTGTTTGTTTTCTGTTTTTATTCTGTTGTATGTTCATTGTTTTTGTGTTGTCTCTTATAGCATACTAATCATGAAAACAAATATGACAAATCAGAAGACACTGTTGGTACTGTTGTTTATATTAGCCTCCTGGATCATTTTTACAGTTTTCAAAAACTGCACACAGGTAGGAGTTGCTTTCTTTCTGTGTTTTATAAAAGCCTGTTTTCACTTGATACCTTGCCTGTCCTTGTAAAGTCCAAAATACAAAACCTATAGACTGCAGTGGGGAGCTCCAGCAGCTTACAGACAGATACTAAAAGAATCAAAGTGCCTAATAATATTTTTTTTTAATGAGACAGAATAATATTGTGTGTGTGTGTATATATATATATATGTATATATACACATATTCTTCTTTGTCACTTATATATGTGTTATAATTATCTTCTCCCAACATTTTGCTTGTCTTTTCACTTTCTCTAGGGACTTCTGAAGAACAGAGTATTTTCATTTTTATATAGTAAAATTTATCTGTCTTTTTGATAGTTAAGGCCTTTTTTAGTCTTGTTTAAGAAACTCTTTCCTACTTTGATGTCAGATTATTTATCTAAATATTCTACTAAATGTTTCAAAGTTTGTTTTTGACATTTAATCCTTAATGCATATAACTGATTTGTGTGTTTGTGTGTGTGATTTTCCTTGTATTTCCATATGGATAACCACTTTTTTACCTCTTTTTATTTTGCAGTCCCTTCTTTCCCAGGTTATTTGACATGCACTTTTGTTGTATATCAAAATTTCGAGTAAGTGCAGATCACTCTGGCCTCTTTGTTCTATTCCATTGATCAATTTGTCTTTTCTGTGCCAATACCATATTACTGTAATTAACACAGCTTCATAATTAGTCCTGAAAACTGGTAGTGCAAGTTACCTTCCAGAGGGTTCTTGGCCAGTCCTGGCCCTTTACTCTTCCTAATACATCTTAGAGTCAGTCTGTTAAATCTGATGAAAGATCCTAATTAAATTATATGAGCATCACATCAACAAGGTAGATCAACTTGGGGAAAAAAAAAAACTGGTATGTTTATAACATTCTTTTTCTATTTACCAGTATGTGATATCTCTCCACTTATTTAGATTTTCTTCAAGGTCTTTCAGTAAATTTTACAATTTGTTGCATACAGATCTTACACATTTTGTTCACATTTAGTATCTAGGTACTTTATAATATTTATAACATTTTGTTGCTATTGTAAATGGTGTCCTCTTTGTTGCTGGTGTAGAGGGATGCAATTGCCTTTTGCATATTGAACAGCCAAGATTTTACTTTCAAAGATGTCTAACAGATTCATATTTTATGGATACAATATCATCTAACATTACTCTGAGGTTCTGTTTTGCTTTCGCTATCGCTTCTGTTCCCGTGGGTGTCCTCTCTTTACTGAACTAGATACTTCTCTTTCTTGAGTTGGCTTTCAAAAATTTTTTGCTAATTCTTAGTTGTGTTCACATCCTTATATTTGAGATTCTGTGGTAGCAAGTCTGTAGATTCTGTTACCTGTTTATTCCAGCTTGTTTGTAACAGTACAAAAAAAGCACCACAGAGCAATGCATGCTCCCTATTCATCTTAGGTGTTGCCAGGCACACAGGACCCTGCTCTGCTTCTCCAAATTTAATGCTGGTATTTTTCACTCCCACCTAAGTACAGAAATCCCTGTTACAAACTGCCTGAGACAGAACCAGATGAGGAAATGGGGAGGCATCAACCTGCCTGGCTTGCCCTCCTGTGGGCTGTCCCGTTACCCTCTTTTGCTCCAGCATCCCTGGAGTGCCTTCTTTCACAGAACCCTCATCTAGATGTGTCTGGAGCCATGGTTTTTGTCCTTGATCTATTCTCATCTGTCTTTCATTTTTTTTTTTTTTTTAGGTGATTCTTCATATTTTCTGGCCCAATTAAATCTCTTCCTAATTCCCAGAACAGGTAGAGATTTTTAAAGTCCCTTTCTGTCTTTTATAGGATTTCATGGTGGGAGATTGAGGCTGCAACATGTTCTTAGTGCTCCATTTGAATCTGAATTTTCCAGTTTTATTTCTATTAAAAATTTTGTGCACAGAAAATTATTCAGCTCTTCTAAAAAAATCACTTATGTTTTTTATTTGCAGTTGTAGCAATTTAAAAAATCTGGTAATGCAGTGTAATGGTTAAAAGATATTACTATGAGGGATTCTGGGAAGATGGCATAAGCAAACCATTATTCCAACCTTCTCCCAAAAATACAACAAGGAAATGGTGCTCAGCTCTGAGGGACTCTGAACTGGGGAGCAGAAGAAAACAGCGGGGAACTGCAGACAGGCAAGAATCAACAAATCAATAATGAGTCACATAGAGTAGGAAAATCACTTCTCCCACTGTCCCTGCCCCTCCCCTCAGCCACACAAGCTGCTGAGTGCTGTGAACTGGGGAAGTGGCCCCAGAAAAAGAGCCTGCTTCCCCTAATCACCACAGCCCCCACCTGTACAAAGAGACAGGACCCCAAGCTTCTGCTGTAAAATCAACAATGCAGACCTCCTAAGGTGAACTGTAAACCTACTGTGAATTGCTACAGAAGGCCCACGCAGTGGAATCTGCTCTCATAGTCAACACTCTACCTGCTTCCCCACACACCCCAAAGCTCAGACCTCTAAAATCAACAGGACAGACCTCCCAGAGAGTCATCCTGGTCTCTCTGCTCCCCCTTTCTGTCAGTGTGAGAACAGCCGACTGAGCTGCTATGTGCTAGGAAGCAGGCCTCCTGAGTAGAGGCAACACCCACAGCCAACATACTATGGGGCAGGCTCTGACAGTAACAAGGCAGACCTTCCTGGGGGTCTGTTTGGCGTGTGACTATCCCTTCATCAAACTCCTACAGAAGACTCACTACAGTGGAGTCAGAAGGTGGGTCACTTAAGTGGAGACTGCTCCCCCAACCACCACAGGGCCCCTGGCACTCTGAAATCAACAAGACAGATCTCAGAGGTCCTTCTGGTGACTGCCAGCCCCTCCTCCTCCTGAAACAGAGGAAAGTCTGCCTGTGTTTCCCCTGAATGCCAGCTCACATATAAGAAGCCTTGGGCAAAACCAGAGGGCAACACCCAGCCCCGAAGGGGACTTTCTGGGTGTGGGTTTCTCAACTAAAAACATGGGTGCATAAACAGAGAAAGGAGTAATAACAAGAGAAAGGGGACTGTGCCCCCAGTGGACAGATTGATTAGTACACAATATCTCCCCTGAGATAGTACACAATATTGGACAGATTGACGACAGCATTTTCTCTGGTGTGTTTGGGAGAGACTGAAAGTTGAAAAACAAAATCTGGAACTTCTGAATCCTAGTTAAACCAGAGAAGGAGAAGGAGTTATCAAAAAGAGGGAGAGGAAACAGTAAGCAAAGGCCAAAGGTTCTACCAGCCTAAGAGTCTCTTGCAGAGAGTGGTGGGGGCAAAAACACCAAATACTGGGGAAAACTGAGAAAGTTAACACTCTCGAAATTTCAATGCCCCAACAAAAAAATCACAAGACATACAAAGAACAGAGAAACAATGACCTGTCCAAATGAACACGACAAAGAGTGAAAGTGCATCTAGGGATGACCAAATAAATTCTTAAAAAATGGAAGACTATAATACAACAACATTAAATTAAGAACTAAGAGAAAACACAAAGAGCTAAAAGAAATAAGCAAAACAATGCAAAAACAAAATGAGGATCTAACAAAAGAAACATTGTAACTGAAAAGGATAATAACTGAAATAAAATACAATAGAAGGACTTAGCAACAGATTTAATCAGGCAGAAGAAAGAATCAGTGAATTACGGGATAAGATAGTTAAAATTACAGACACTGAAAAGCAACAAGAACAGAGGCTGAAGAAGACTGAGCATAGCTTAATGCAATTATGGAACAATAAGAGACCTGATATACTCATCATGGGAATTCCAGAAGGAGATGAGAGAGAAAGGGACAGAAAGAATACTTGAAGATACAATGACAGAAAATTTCCCTAATCTAACAAAAAAACATGAATCTACAAACCCAAGAAGCTCAAAAAAACCCTAAGCAGGATAATCCCAAAGAAATCTACACCAAGACAGATCAGAGTTAGGCTCTCAAAAATTAAAGATAAAGAGAGAATCCTGAAAGCAGTGAGAGAGAAACCAACAGTCACATACAAAGGATCCCCAATAAAATTAAGTGCCGATTTTTTCCTTGGAAACACTGAAGGCCAGAAGGCAATGGAATTATATATTTATAGTGCTGAAAGAAAAAAATTGTCAACCAAGAATGCTATACCCAGCAAAATTACTCTTTAAGAATGAGAGCGAAATTAAAACATTCCCAGACAAAGAGAAGCTGAAGGAGTTTATATCCACCAGACTAGCCCTATGAAACATCCTGACGGGAGTTCTGTAGATAGAAGGGAAAAGACACTAGAAGGTAACTCAAACCTATACATAAAAAAGAAAGATCCCTAATAAAGGGAATGCATGAACAAGTATAAGGGCTAGTAATGAGGTATTTATGCATGATAATTCTAAATGTTTTGTCCTTCATGTTTTTTAATAACAAATATATAAAATGCAAGGATAAAATTCTCTTACAGGGCACATGAAATATAAAGAGGTAATTAGTGACAACAACAATGAAATGGGGAGAGTAATGGTATAAATATAGAATTTCTTGTATGTTACTGAAGTTAATTTGGTACCAACTTACCGTAAAATGTAATAAATACAAGCTGTTAAATGTGATATTCATGGTAATGACTAAGAAAATATATAAAAGACATACACAGAAATAAAAGAGAAGGAAACCAAAAAGGCTCACTACAATAAACCAACAAAACACAAAAGCAAGCAGTAATAAATGGCAAAGACAAGGCTTAACACACAAAAATAAATAAATAACAAAATGGCAAAAGTAAGTCACTTATTATCAGAAATTACAGTGAATGTAAATGGACTAAATGCTCCAATCAAAAGGCAGACAGTGGCAGAATGGATTAAAAAAACATGATCCCACTATATGCTGTTTACAGGAGACACACCTTAAACCCAAGAACACAAATAGGTTGAAAGTGAAAGCATGGGAAAAAATATTCCATGCAAATAATAACCTAAAGAGAACTGGGGTGGCAATCTTAATA